GGAATATATCAAGGGGAAAGATCTGGGAAAATTTAGTGTAATGCAATTATTTTTTTTCAGATTAATTTTTTACTTTATTTTTTCTTAGGAGACTATATAGCTTTATTTTTAGTTAGTTTTATTTGTTTAATTTTTCTTTTTATTTTTAAATTGTAATGTTCGAATAAATTTAATAAAGATGAAGACTACTATACCACGTTTGCCTATAGTAAAATATCAGATAGATAATATACATTTATCCGATAATGCCGATATACATATTTGAAGTATATTTAATAGACTTAATAGGCTAATAGCTATAATTTACTGATTTTATTATTAAACGCATATCAAAAATAATATTTATTTAATGCAATAATATGAATGCTAATAAATTTATAATTTAAATTTAATTATAATATTAATTTATTTATTTAATTGTTAATTAATTACAAATAAATAAAATTACCACTGGTCGAAATCAAAAAAATTGGACATATGGAAAATCAGCTAAAAATCAGACCAAAATTGACAGACATTACAAATCGGCACATCTGATTGATGCCAATCGGACAATTTAATAAAAATCCAGAAAAAAATCATCATATTTGATTGACAGCTGATTGATGCTAGTTGAAATCAAAAAAAAATCTGACAAAATGACAAATCAACCTAAAATTTACCCAATATTCAAATATGTACTTCCGATTTATGGAAAATTGACAATTCAATAAAAATTCAATAAAAATTCAATAAAAATTTGGCAAAAAATCATTATATTTGATTGATGGCTGATTGATGCTGGTTGAAATCAAAAAAAAATCAGACAAAATAGCAAATCAACCTAAAATTTACCCAATATTCAAATACACTAGTCGAAATAAGGCAAATCGGCTAAAAATCGGATATCCGATTTTAGGTCAAATTACGGCTGAAATATGTCCGATTTTTACAAAAAAAATATATTCCGATTGTTATCTGATTGACTGCCAATCAGATGTACTTCGGAACTTAAATCGGACATAAATCAGAACTAAATCATACTAAATTCGGACAGTCAATCAGATGTACTTCGGAACTTAAATCGGACATAAATCAGAACTAAATCATACTAAATTCAGACAGTCAATCAAATGTACTTCGAAACTTAAATCGGACATAAATCAGAACTAAATCATACTAAATTCGGAAAATTATTATATATAGAAAATTCGATTTAAATTTATTAACGTTATATATTAATTATCAGAAATATTTACGAATAATATATGAAAAAAAAAATTTTTAAATAAATGTAATCGATAGTCCCACTTCATTCAGCTAAATCATCACCGGCTGCACTTTTTTGACTATCGATTAACACCTCTTCCGTTTCTTCACCATAGTCTTCATCTTCGTCAAAACCACTTCTACTATCGATTTCCATATCATATATAAAATCCTTTTGCTCGACATATGACCATTGTGGAGCATCTTCAGGGTGCATTCGGTCGAAGTGTTGAACTTCATCATCATACTGGCGAGGTCGTTGTAATTTTGCCATTTGAATATCTGCTGAATGTGAGTCGATGACGTTTAGAAGTAAATTTTTTAGCTAAAAAAGACAATATAAATAAAATAAATACAAAATAAAGAAAGGAACGAGAGTGATATATTGAAGTATAAATATCGAAGTATAAATATCGAAGTATAAATATCGAAGTATAAATATCGAAGTATAATAAATATCGAAGTATAAACCTCTTGTGATCACCAAAAATAATCATAGACGCATACGATCGTCTTATCTGGATTCTCTTCATCTGACTCACTGATTTCCGGTGAGTGGTAAGATCGATTTGCCAACATTTTTAATAATTGGCGTTTTTCATAAC